CACGTGTGCGTGTGTACCCAAGATCTCGAGAGGAGAATGGAGGAGAAGGGATTGCAGCGTGGCCATTCCCCCTGGGGGGTGATTTCTCTCTTTCTGTCTCTCTGTCTCTCTCTGTCTGTCTGGTGAGCGCATGCGCCCTATAGCAAAAACAAACAAACAAAAACCCTCAAAAAAACCCAAAAAACCTGGTGCTTGAAAAACATGCCAGGTGTGTGTATATACCAAACATCTCGAGAGGAGGGAGAAATGGAGAAGGGACTGCAGTGTGACCATCCTCCACGGAGGGGATATGCTTTATCACTTTCTGTCTCTCGTCTCTCTTGTGGTGAGTGTACACACTCTGGGAAATTAAAGAAAAAAGTATAAGTTTTGGTGCAAAATAATTTGAAATCTATGCACAGTTTCCCATAAGTTTTTTTTAAATTTAATATACTATTTTTAAATTTACTGTAGGCCATGTGCACTCACCAGAGACAGACAGAGATACAGAGAGAGACAGAAAGTGGCAAAGCAAGTTGCCGAGTCTGGGACTTGAACTGCAGTCAGTCACATTGGAGTACAACACCTTAACAACCATGCCACTTGTTGGCTCCTTTCATGAGCATTTTTTTTTTTTGAAAGGTTTTCGCTGTAGGGCGCATGTGCTCACCAGAAAGACAGAGAGAGACAGACAGAAAGTGAGAAATCATCCCCCAGGGGGGATGGCCACACTGCAATCCCTTTTCCTCCATTCTCCTCTTGGGATCCTGGGCATGCACACATGCAGACGCGCCTGGCATGAGTTTAAGCCACCGGGTCTGGGACTCGAACCGCAGTCGACTACGTGGGAGTCCAGCATTACGCTAACTGCTGGTCCCGCATTGTGGAGAGCAGCCAATCTGAAAACATGTGATTAAAACATGTGGCCTAAAGACACATGCAGGTATATGCTTCTGTAAGGTAAGCTACTCTAGCAGGGCTATTGAGAAGCATCTACATACAAAAGCAATACCTGCCTGTTGTCAATCGTTGTCTTCCTGTTATTGTTAATACCCAATACCTCGAATACTGCCCAGTATCAGGCTAAAAAAAGTCACAAACATTTATTAGATTGCCCCCCCACCAAAAAAAAAAAAAAATTACACGGAGCCAGTCATTTTCACATCCTCAAATGATTTATATCCAAAACCAACTGGCTTTGCATTCTAATTTCTCTTCCCTTATTCTCTTTGCATTCCACTTCCTTCTACCTCATTCCTTTTACATCCCATTTTCCCCTTCCCCTATTCTCTGCCCTTTAAAAGAATAAACCTGAGGCTGGTTCTGGTTGCAACTTCTCCATTGGAGAAGCTGTGCCCACCCAACTCTTGCTTTCCTATGCTTGTGTGCCTTTGTGTAATTTGTTATAGCGTCTATTTCTAATCCGCAGCCTTCCCCACTCAGAAAAACGTGTTCATGCTGAGCTAGTCCCGGCAAAGTGGCGCCCAACGTGGGGCTGAGATTTACTCGTGTTACTTGGGGTTGTCTGATAGAGGTCTTTTGTGGCTTGTTAAACACTTTTGATTGACTCGACTGTCTTGTGTTGCCTGAGAGAACATTGAGAGTGCCCCTACTGTTTGACGGGGCTAGGGCCGGCCCTGTGTCTCGTTTTTTGGGGGCCTTCGCAGCCTCCCACCTATGTCTGCTTTGGATTTACATTTACTGGCAGGATGCCTTTTTTTCTGGCATTTAGTATATATTTTGGGGACTTTTGTGGGTGTAGGTGTTGGGCCTTTAGTTTTTTTTGTAGTGTATTTTTTTTATTGTTTACGGTATTGATAGTCATGGGCCATATATCTTGGTATGTCATAATTGAAACAATTTTTAAAAAACTTTTGTTGCATAACTTTTTTTAATGCAGCTGCTATATAGCCATGCCCTGGATTTGTGGTTTTTAAATGTCTTGACACAGTCTAATGAAATTATTTACTGTCCCCGCTTTTTTTTTTTTTTTTTTTGAGTAATAGAGCTGTTTTATAAGAGGCATTAGCATTTTTTTTTTTTTTTGGGAGAGATTTTCACTGTAGGGCGCGTGCGCTCGCCAGACAGACAGAGAGAGACATAGAGACAGAAAGCGAGAAATCACCCCCCCAGGGGGGATGGTCACGCCGCAATCCCTTCTCCTCCATTCTCCTCTCGGGATCTTGGACACGCACGCACACGCGCCCGGCGTGAGTTTTTAAGCCACCGGGTCCGGGACGCGAACCGCGGTCGACTACGTGGGAGTCCAGCGACATAGCCATTACACTAACTGCTGGTTTCCGAGACATTAGCATTTTTAAAGGCCAATTGTTTTAACAAAATTTGTCTTGCTTTTTGATTAGAGACTATTTGCTACATGGCCTGTGACAAAGCAGTACCTGCCTGTCGTCAATCGCTGTCTTCCTATTATTGTTGATACCCAATACCTCGATACTGCCCAGTATCAGGCTAAAGAAAGTCACAAGCATTTATCAGATTGTCTGCCCCAAAAATAAAAAAAAAATTATATGGCGCCAGTCATTTTCACATCCTCAAATAATTTACATCCAAAAACTGGCTTTGCATTCTAATTTCTCCTCCCTTATTCTCTTTGCATTCCACTTCCTTCTTCCCCATTCCTTTTACATCCCATTTTCCCCTTCCGCTATTCTCTGCCCTTTAAAAGAATAAACCTGAGGCTGGTTCTGGTTGCAACTTCTCCATCAGAAAAGCTGTGTCCATCCAATCCTTGCTTTTCTATACTTGTATGTCTTTGTGTATTTTATTATTGTGTCTATTTCTTTAGAAAAAAAATTATTTAGTTCCATTTGTTATTAGTTTTTAATTTGACCAGAGAGACAGAGAAACAGAAAGGGAAAGTGAGAAAGCAGGCTGCCAGGTCCAGGACTCGAACTGCGGTCAGCCATGTGGGAGTCCGGTGCCCTTAACCACCATGCCATCTGCCAGCCCTATTACGTCTATTTCTAATCCACAGCCTTCCCCACTCAAAAAAACGTGTTCATACTAAGCTAGTCCCGGCACCGCATGAGCATTTTTAAAAAAATGTTTTGCTACAGGCATGTGCGCTTGCTGGAGAGACAGAGACAGAAAGCAAGAAATCATCCCCTTCCTTGGAGAATGGCCACACTGTAATCCCTTTTCCTCTCGGGTTCTGGGCATGCATGCACACACACCTGGTGTGAGTTTCAAGCCACTGGGTCCATGACTTGAACCACAGTCAGCAATGTGAGAGTCCAGTGTGTTAGCCACTATGCCACCTGCTGGGCTCTCCATGAGCATTTTAAAGGACTCCCCTCTTACTCCATTAAACAAACTTGGCTTAAGTAAAGGCTGAAATATATTCACAAAGGAAGAAAAGGATAAATGATACGTTTTGTAAAATCTAGAAAATTAGTGGGTCTAATACCACAAGAGTCAGCAATGTAAAAGAAAAACTTGTAACAAATAAATGCTATAAGTAACATTTGATTAGAAATACTAGTAGATATTTACTCTTTTTTTTTTTTTTTTTGAGAAGTTTTTGCTATAGGGCTGTGTGCACTCGCCAGAGATAGAGGCAGAGAGACAGAAAGCAAGAAATCACCCCCCAGTGGGATGACCACTCTGCAATCCTTTCTCCTCCATTTTCCTCTCGGGATCTTGGGCACTCACACACACATGCGCCTGGCGTGAGTTTAAGCCACCGGGTCCAGTACTTGAACTGTAGTCGACCACATGGGAGTTCAGCTACATAGCTGTTAGGCTAACTGCTGGCCCCAGATATTTACTCATTTTAACACAGGAACCAAAACATTTGCTGTATTTGTAGTGCACTGTCTTCCTGAAGTTCACCCTTCAAACTAATTCACCGAAGTATTTTTCATAAAAGTTGTATTTAGGGGCCAGCAGGTGGCACAGGTTAAGGCGGCTGAATCCCATAAGGCTATATGGCTGGATTCCTGAACCTGGTAGCTTAAAAAACACACCTGCACATGTATGTGTGTGCCCAAAATCCCAAGAGGAGAATGAAGGAGAAGAGATGCAGTGGCCATCCCCATGGAGGGGTGGGGTGGGGTGGGGTGTGATTTTTTTTTCTTCCTCCCTGACCTATTAACACATGAGCCTTATAGCAAAACAAACACACACACACACACAAACTGGGGACCAGCAGCTGGTCACGTTATTGGACTCCCAAGTAGTCAACTGAGGTTTGAGTCCAGGACCTGGTGGCTTCAAACTCACGCCAGGTGCATGTGCATGCATGGCCATCGCCCCTGGGGGATGATTTCTTACTTTCTGTCTCTCTGGCAGGCACATGTACCCTATAGCAATAATCTCTCTAAAAAAGAAAAAGCTGTATTTAAGTACAAACTGACTAAAACATTCTAAAAAAAAAGTTAACATAGGTGGGCCGGCAGGTGGTGTGATTTAAGGTGCTGGACTACAAGGCCAGTTATAGTTCAAAACCCAGACCTGGCATCTTGCTTCCTCATTTTCCTCTCCCTCTTACTGTCTCTGGTGAGTGTGCCCTATAGCAAGTTAAAATAATAATAATAAAAATAACAAATAAAATTCATCATTCTTTAAAAAGTTAATACAGGAATGCTACTAGAATATAGCAGCCCACAGACTTAGTACGCAAATAAAACAGCTTTCTTTTTAGTATCCCTAGTCTTTTTACACATGTATTTACTGCATACTGTATTTTTTTTTTTTTTTAGAGGTTTTTGCTATAGGGTGTGTGCGCTCACCAGAAAGAGAGACAGAAAGTGAGAAATCACCCCCCAGGGGGAACAGCCATGCCATAATTCCTTCTCCATTCTCCTCTCAGGATCTTGGGCACGCATGCACACACGCCTGGCATGATTTTAAGCCACCAGGTCCAGGACTCGAACCGTGGTAGACTACATGGGAGTCCAGCGACACAGCCATTACACCAACTGCTGGTCCCAGCATATTGTATTTTTTTGATAGACACTTAACAACTACCTAAATCTTATAAAGAATAAAAGACTTTTGTCTTAAGTCCTATTAAATTTTCTGAGTGTTTTTAATAAAGTACATGCAACCGCACAGTTTAACAGCATAGCAACTGCTAGTCCATGGCATCATCAACAACTTTTGATCCAACAGATTTAAATTGTAACACGTTATTATATTTAACATAATGAACTGGTATTTTTTTCTAAAACAGCACACCAAACATACTTAACAACAGCTAAAAGACAGCAAGTTCCTTTCCTCTGGACATCAACTTTTAAAAAACACGAACTTCTGAAGAACAGTTTACAAATTATACAAAATGGGGTGTACATACAATACTGACATAGAGTTATTTAGAAGACAAGTGAGTGGTATTACCTGTTCCCAAGGTTACATAAGCTGTGGAAATAGTCTCTAATAATATGTCAATAAAGAAAAAATAAATACAATTGCTGGCTATCACATACACAGAAAGATAAGAGTCAAGCAAAACTTACAAATTTGGTAACTTCATACACTCCAGACAGTCTGAACGTATGTAAAAAACTCAGGTACCTGAAAGAAGGGAACTCTATTATGGAGTAGTGACACTGAGTTGCTAAAAGCAAAGCAGTGAAGTTTTCTTCATGGGCTCAGATTCTTAACTGAAACTCAATTTAATTCTACTAGTTAATTTAATTCAAGAGTTGACTTTTTTAAAGGCCAATAATGTCAAACATCTTTTAATAGCATTTAAAAATATTCATGGACTAATATATTACTTAGAAGATTTAATCTCACTGCTTTGAATGCTGGTTTTAGGCCCTCTTAAAGAACACCAGGGAAATACAGAGATAAAAAACTAAATTGGCAACGATCTTTTTTAAAAATTACTTAAACTGCATATAACATGGTTTATGTTGCACATACTTGTATTGCATATAACATGACTAAGAGAACATTTTTGTGATGGAAGACCTGGGTGGATGATTCTTGTCTGGGAGATACAATGAGAAGGCCTCTTACATTTATTTAGTTAAGGGAGAACTGCACCGATCTGCATAAACACAAATTCAAAGGGTTGCAGTTTTAAGTCAAATGAAATGTCTGAAATGTGATATAAAATCAAAGGTAATATCCCTTGGTATAAAAGATAGAGGATATAGTTTTACAAGGTTTCACAATAGCTGATTTTTCATTAAACCTGAAGAGTCTTAACAGAAACACACATGTATCTTATTTCAGAAGCGGCAGTGACTCAAATGCTTATATTCAACTCCTTCTGGTTCAGTAAAATCAAAGTCCAAATGTTTGGAATTAAACGACTCACTACTCGCCAAAAATCCATAAAATATTCACACCGGATAGGCCAAGATTAACTCTCCTAAAAAGAGAAAAAAGAAAAAGTTTTAGTAGATTGGTTGCCAAGCATTTACAATCTTTTTCTAGTAACTAATACAAGAACTTTTTGTAAGAAATACATGTTTAATTGATGGGATTTAATATGATTCTACAACACATTATGGTACATATGATTTACCAGGTGAATTCTAAAAACAGTCGCTGAACTCCCATGTAGCTGACCGTGGTTCGAGTCCTGTATTTATTTTTTCTTTATTGACATATTAGACTATTTCCACAGCTTATGTAACCTTGGGAACAGGTAATACCACTCACTTGTCTTCTAAATAACTCTATGTCAGTATTATATGTACACCCCATTTTGTATAATTTGTGGTGGTTTAAACTCACACTGGGCGCGTGTGCATGCGTGCCCAAGATCCCAAGAGGAGAATGGAGGAGAAGGGATTGCGGTGTGGCCATCCCCCATGGGGGTGGAGGGGATTTCTCTCTTTCTATCTCTCTGTCTCTCTCTGTCTTTCTAGTGAGTACATGTGCCCTAGAGCAAAAACCTCTCTGAAAAAAACCAAAAGAATGTGTTCACTTTGATGAAAATAAAAAATAGCTCTATTACCAAAAATGCTCCTATAAAGGTAATTTCTAGCAAGTGTATTTTTCCATTTCTTCACACCTTCATCAATATTCTGCAAACAATACATTTCATTCTGAAAGAAAAAGTGTTTTAATTTTGGCTTATTTCTATACAGGGCGGGCATGTTTTTGTGTTTATTGGCCATCTGCATTACACATTTTTGTGAAAAAAAAATGTTCATGTCTGTTTTTTTTCTTTTTTAAAACACTTTTTGCCAGAGAGCATGTATGCTTGCTGGGGAGCACCAGACGGAGAGTGGGAGAGCACCCCATCATGGGAATGGCCTCGCCATGACCCCTTTTCCTTCACTTGTCCCACCTTCCAGGAGTTTAGGCAGGCATGCACATGAGCGCAGCGTATTTTTCAAGTTGCTGGGTCTGGGACTCGAGTCATGTAGTTGGTCATCACCAGCTGGCTGGTTTTTGCCCATTTTTCTCTTCTAATGAATGTGTATGTTCTTTATAGACAACGGACAGTAACCTGAAATTACTGTATGTGTCGCAGTATAAAGTCTTGTCTCTGTCATTTAGCATCAAATTTTATGGTGTTTTTGCTGAGCGGAATATTTAAGTAATTGTGCAGTCAACAGATATTTTTCCTTCGGAGAGTAAACATTCACCTAATTCCAGTAACTGCACGAATAACTTGAAGTGAGCTGACAGTGCACTTGGGCCAATGTGCTTTGGATCAACTGGACTTTATGGTCATGAGTTCAAATGGACTGTATTTGAGGGGCTCACTTATTTTAACATACAGGACGGATTTTAACCACTTGATTGTTTTAAAATATATTTAAAAATTAGCCATATTGAAAAGGTTTATAATTTCAAAGTCCCCCCTGGTTAAAAAAATTTAATAAAATACATATTAATTTTAGTTTAAAATGTTTCATTTCTGCATATAAGCTGCTCATTAAGATAAGCGTTTCCAAAATTACATAAATTCTGAATAAATTACTGCCCCTTTAACAGTTTTTCATTTTTCTGCCTATGACAAATCTCTACAATATAGGCTTTACAGTATCACAACAAATTGGTTGTACATCAAAATATCAATTTGGATCTATGGGTCAAAGATTTTTCAATTAAAATAAAAATTGATTTATTTGAAGTGTTTCTAATTAATTCTTCATTCAAAATAGCCTTTCAGAAACAGTTAAATGAATAATTAATTATAAAACAATTTACATATTAATAATACTTGTATAGAAAATTTATATTCCATCCAATATATGTACACACATTTGTAACTAAATATTCCTAGAAACTTTAGAGAAAAAAAATCTGCATGTCTAAAATACACCAGCAGATTAAAAATGAGGTGGCACAGTACTAAGCTTGGGCATGATCCTTTAAGTTTCTTTCTTTCATTTCAGTGAGAGAGAGAGAGAGAGAGAGAGAGAGAGATACTCTTGCCAGGGTCTTGCCACACCTAGATCCTCCCCAAAGCTTTCCAGCCAGCCAGGATCATGGTGTTCCTCTGGGTAGACCTGGAGTGTCCAAGTTAACCCTGGATCCAAACCTGGGGTTTACATGGCTCCAGTGCCAGGTACTTATTATTATTTTTTCCTGATGTCAGAGGGCACATTCCCGGGGGGGGGGGGGGGAGAGAACATATGCACATATACACCTGGAATACTGCCACCAGGGCTTGAATCTGACTGCTAGCCGGCCATGTGGGATCCAGCTTCCTCTGCATAACAATCATTACCATATGGCGCCAGACCTAAAATACATCTTTTTCCCTTATTTTTGCCAGAGGAAGCATACACTCATTGGAAAGACTTTTCGAAAGATGGAGAGAGGGAGAAAGCATCTCCTGATGGGGCGTGGTGATGACACAACCCTGTCTCCTCCATCCTGTCGGAATCTGGGGCACACACGCACATGTGCTAGTGTGTTTTTGGGGGAGAGGTTTTTGTTTTTCTGCTATAGGGCACGTGTGCTCGCCAAAAAGACAGAGACAGAGAGACAGGAAGTGAGAAATCACCCCCCGGGGGGATGGCCACGCTGCAATCCCTTCTCCTCCATTCTCCTCTCAGGATATATATATATATTTTTAATTTATTTTTTTATTTTTATTATCATCATAATCTTCTTTATATTACATTGGATTATATATAACTTTACAGTGTATTACATTGTTTTTTCAAAAGGGAATGCCATGCATGTCAGTCAGTACAGAGACATTAATCTCCCCACTTTAACATTCCATATCTTTTCTGTTTTCCCCAATCATTATTTTTATTATTCTAATTATTTTTATAAAACAGTCAATTGCTATTTCTCATTTTGCTTGTAAAAATACTTTGCCTATCATGAAATACTTCTCAGACCAATCC